GCCCCATTGCCGCCCCTACGCGGCCCCGTCGCCGCCCATACGCGGCCCCGTCGCCGCCCCTAGCGGCCCCGTAGCCGCTCCCCTCCCTACGCGGCCCCGTAGCCGCCCCTACGCGGCCCCGTCGCCAACCCTAGCGGCCCAGTCGCCGCCCCTAGCGGCCCCGTCGCCGCTGACCTCCCTACGCGGCCCTGTTGCCGCCCCTACGCGGCCCCGTCGCCGCCCCTACGCGGCCCCGTCACCGCCCCTAGCGGCCCCGTAGCCGCTCCCCTCCCTACGCGGCCCCGTCGCCGCCCCTACGCGGCCCCGTCGCCGCCCCTAAGCAGCCCCGTCGCCGCCCCTAGCGGCCCCGTCGCCGCCCCTAGCGGCCCCGTCGCCGCTGACCTCCCTACGCGGCCCCGTTGCCGCCCCTACGCGGCCCCGTCGCCGCCCCTACGCGGCCCCGTCGCCGCTCCTAGCGGCCCCGTCGCCGCTCCCCTCCCTACGCGGCCCCGTCGCCGCCCCTACGCGGCCTCGTAGCCGCCCCTACGCGGCCCCGTCGCCGCCCCTAGCGACCCCGTCGCCGCTCCCCTCCCTATGCGGCCCCGACGCCGTCCCTACCGGCCCCGTCGCCACCCCCTACCCGGCCCCGTCGCCGCCCCTAGCGGACAGCCGAGCCGCTGAGCCGCCGAGCAGCAGCAGCCGCCATTGTAGCAGCCGCCCCTGGAGCAGCCGCCACTGCAGCAGCCGCCCCTGGAGCAGCCGCCACTGCAGCAGCCGCCCCTGGAGCAGCCGCCACTACAGCAGCCGCCCCTGGAGCAGCCGCCACTGCAGCAGCCGCCCCTGGAGCAGCCGCCACTGCAGCAGCCGCCCCTGGAGCAGCCGCCACTGCAGCAGCCGCCCCTGGAGCAGCCGCCACTGCAGCAGCCGCCCCTAGAGCAGCCGCCACTACAGCAGCCGCCCCTGGAGCAGCCGCCACTGCAGCAGCCGCCGCTGGAGCAGCCGCCATTGCAGCAGCCGCCCCTGGAGCAGCCGCCACTGCAGCAGCCGCCCCTGGAGCAGCCGCCCCTGGAGCAGCCACCCCTGCAGCTGCCGCGGAGCTCTCGCTCTACACTGGTAGCGGAATCGCCGTTGCCGCCGTCGTCCGCCTGCCCTTTTCGCCACTGGTGAGCACTGCCCTGGCCGTACTGCTGTTACTGCTGCTCTTACTACTGCTGCTCTTTCAACTGCTACTACTGCTCCTGGTGTGGCCAGATGCAGCTCCAGCGTCGCCCGCGTGAGTCCCTCACCCCCCAACAGCTTCGTGAGTGGTACGCTAGTTGGGGTTGTCATGGTGGCCGTAGTGGGAGTCGTCCTGGAGTGAGTAGTTCCGCAGCTGCTTGTAGTGGCAGGATGCAGCTCCTGCGTCGCCCGCGTGAGTCCCTCACCCCCCAACAGCTTCGTGAGTGGTACACCAGCTGGGGTTGTCGGGGTGGCAGTAGTGGGAGTCGTCCTGGAGTGGGTAGTTCGGGAGTTTCTTGTAGTGGCCCGGTGCAGCAGCAGCGTTGTCCGTGCGAGACTCTTTCACCCAAGCAGCTTCGTGACTGGTACGCTCAGAGTGGAGGGTCGCTCAGTAGTGCTCGCTGCCCGTACGTTATTAGCATGGGTGTCTGGACTGGTCAAACTTGCGGGACGCGTGGTCACACAGAGTCCCGCTGCTTCGCGCGTCTGAGCGACACTTGGCATACAGGGTTTGGCGACGACGCTGAGCTCCCCGACTGGGTGGAGCTGCTTTCGCAGAGGGTAGCTATCTTTGCTCTTGACTATGATGCTATTCTCACTGCAATGTATGCATTGTCTAATAGTGCCGAGGGAGTCTGTCACCTGTGTGTGCCGTCTGACCCCGGTATCCAGTCTGCTGCTCTAGGTGCTGGTGAGGCTGCTGCTCTAGGTGCTAAGTGCGTCTGCTGCCCCAGGTGCTGGTGAGTCTGCTCTCTCAGGTACCACTTCGGCTCAGGCCTTACACACCTTCACCCTTGACTTGGGTGCTTCCCGCTCCTTCTTTCGAGACCGCACCACGCTTACGCCGCTTAGTCGGCCGGTTGCTGTCTCCCTAGCGAACCCCTCTGGGGGTCCTGTCCTTGCTAGCTTCTCCACTGTCTTACCGTGCCCGGCAGCCCACTCTGGCACCTTGTCAGGTCTCTACCTCCCCTCGTTCTCTACAAACTTGGTGAGTGGAGCTGATCTACAGGATAAGGGGGTTGACCAGTTCACTCCTGCGAGTCAGCAAGTGACCCACTGCACGTGTGCTCGGATAGGCCGACACTTGGCCACGTCCACCCGTCGGCCGGGGTCGAGCCTGTACACACTGACTACTGAGTCTCCTCCGACTGCTGAATCAGGTCAGGTAGCTGGGTCGAGTCGGGTATTTGCTGCAGCGTCCAGGTCTGGTCCTGAGTGTGCTCCCTGCTTGTGTCGTCTCCTGTCCCACCAGACTCTCCTTTAGCACCACCGCCTTGGTTACCCCTCCCTGCCTAGTCTCCGAGGCATGGCTTCCCGTGTCCTTGTCTCTGGTCTTCCCCGGTCTCTCCCTCCCCTACCTCCGGGGTCTGCCCCTACCTGCGTCCCCTGCGTCGAGGGGCGACAGCGCGCCGCCCCTCACTCCTCCGAGTTTCCTCCAACAGAGGCTCCGCTGCAGACTCTTCACATGGACGTGTGGGGCCCCGCCCGCGTCCGTGGACAGGGGCACGAGCGTTACTTCCTGCTGGTGGTTGACGACTACTCGCGTTACACCACAGTCTTCCCCTTGCGCAGCAAGGGTGACGTCACTGAGGTGTTGATTGACTGGATCCGCGCAGCTCGTCTCCAGCTCAGAGAGAGTTTCGGCTCAGACTTTCCTGTTCTGCGTCTGCACTCTGACAAAGGCGGGGAGTTTTCCTCTGCCCGTCTGGGAGCCTTCTGTCGTGCACAGGGCATCTATCAGACCTTCACGCTTCCGGCCTCTCCACAGCAAAATGGGATTGCTGAGCGCCGCATTGGCATGGTCATGGACGTCGCTCGTACGTCCATGATCCATGCGGCTGCCCCCCATTTTCTGTGGCTGTTTGCGGTTCAGTACGCAGCGCATCAGCTCAACCTTCAGCCCCGGGTCTCCTTGCCTGAGACCTCCCCCACCTTGCGGTGGACGGGGAAGGTTGGCGATGCGTCTGCGTTTCGGGTCTGGGGATCTCGCGCGTTTGTCCGCGACTTGTCTGCGGACAAGCTGTCCCCCCGTGCTGTTCCTTGCGTCTTCCTTGGCTTCCCCCCTGACGCGCCTGGGTGGCAGTTTTACCACCCCACCTCGCGCCGCGTTCTGTCCTCCCAAGACGTCACCTTTGACGAGTCGGTGCCTTACTACCGTCTCTTCCCCTACAGCACTGCGCCCCTCCCCCCGCTGCCGCTCTTCCTTGGGCCACGTCCTCCCCCAGTAGACCCCCTCCCCCCTCAGGGTCCTGCCCTGTCAGGGGTGTCCCAGGTAGACGCAGTCGAGCCTGTCGAGGTAGCTGTTGACTCTTGTGCTGCTCGAGATGCTGTGCCTGCGGGTGCCGGGTCTGGGGGTGCGGAGCTTGGGGGTGCTGAGTCCAGGGGTGCGGAGCCTATGGGTGCTGAGTCTGGGGGTGCTGAGCCTGGGGGTGCTGAGTCTGGGGGTGCTCAGCCTGGGGTTTCTGAGCCTGGGGGTGCGGAGCCTGGGGGTGCTGGGTCTGCTCGTGTGACCTCTCGCGGTGCTTGGCCGAGGCGTGAGCCGCTCTTTCCGCAGGAGCTGCGCGAGTGGTTTGCCCGGCGCAGGAGCCGTGCTGCTAGAGCTGGAGGTACTACTGTTGCTGCTGGTCCCGGAGGTGCTCGTACTGGTGGTACTGGAGCTGTTGGGGCTGGGGGTGCTGCTGGAGGTACTGCTGGAGCTGCTGGCGGTACTGGAGCTGCCGGTCCTACTGGAGTTGGTGCTGCTGGAGCTGCTGGAGTTACTGGAGATGGAGCTCCTGGATGTGTCGGCGCTGGTGGTTCTGCTGGTGCTGGTGCGTCTGAGGGTGCTGGAGTTGGCGCAGTTGGCGCTGGCGGTACTGGCTGACACTGATACTGCCGCTGGGGGTACTGGTGCTGTCCCTGCTGGTTCTGGAGGCGCTGCGCGGCCGAGGCCGTACTTCGTTCCGCTCCTTGAGCAAGTTCTTCGTCTTCCGCCTTCTACTGGTCCTGCCCCTCCTTTAGTGTGTCCACCGCCTGTCCAGTCGCAGTCAGAGTTACAGCCCGCCTCCCCCCTGCCTGCTTCTTCTCCCTACACTGGTCCTACTGGAGGTCTTGCTAAGCCTCGTGAGCCTGCGTCTCGTCCTGCGTCGCGTGTTCGTGCTGCTCGCACTGGTGGTCGTACTGCGCGTCCGCGTAATCCTACGGTCCCAGGCACACACCAGATGGCACTGCGTCCTTCCACTGCGTGTCTCGTTTCCGTCTCCTCCAGAGTCCTCTCTTCCTACTCTTGCTGACCCGGAGCCGGACTCTCTTTGTGCTGCCAGTCTTTCTATCACGCGTCTCCTGGCTACTGTTGTCACTGACCCTTCCTTTGAGTCCACTGCTGCGTCTGCCCTAGTTGCTGAGCTTGTCGACTTCGCTGCTTGCTATCGTCTAGACTACGCTGCTAGTCTTGTTGCTGAGTCTGAGTCTGTCTGTCCTCCGTCCGTCGGGGGTGAGTGGGCACTAAAATTCCCAAAATGAACGCGCTGGACACCCCCTTACAAATCTGAAGATTGCTGTGCACACCTTAGCCAGGTGATATACCAGACGGCTATGCAAACAGACGGGACAGCTATCCCATTAAGCGTTATCATCACAAAAAACCCAAGTCATAATGAAGAAGAAAAAAAAAGAAAAGAGAAAGGGAGAAGGAAAGCAAAACCGCCAAGAAGAACCCAAATGCAACACACATAAAACCCCCCCTCAAGATACCCTATCAAAACGCCTAGTCAAGACACCCTGTCAAGACATCCCATCCCACACCCCATTCCCCCCCCCCCCAATCACAACAGCGAATCCACCATGTACGGGGCCTCCACCCAGAGAGCCCCGCCTTCCGCATCGCCATCGTCCCACTCCCGGTCCACCAAGTCAACGTTAATCCCCCCCATAGAAGACGCCGCTCGAAGCAGGATGACACAGGCTTGCGCACGTTGCAACGCCACCCCAATGAGCGCCTTCAGTGACCCTAGAAGATAAGCCGAAAACACAGTGTCGTCCTCTCGACAAGCCCCTCGCGACACAACTAGCCCCACGTGCACATCTCCCTGCTTGACGAAGCCACCTCCGAAAGCGACCGCCGAGACACCCCCACGTCTCCACTATCAAAGGAGTGAATTGCACGCCCCGGTTGCGTGCAAGCAGAGGCGCGTAATCGCTCGTTTTACGACGCTCCCATTCTCTTGCCGCCACGCCTATTTCACGCCCGCACTGTCCTAGCAAAGATGGAGACAGCGATAGCGGGTCCGCGACGCTGATCTCCAGGGCGTGAGCCTCTCCAGCCATTGGTCGTCGCACTGCCACATCAACCCGCTTCCCCTGCAGCACCACACTATCCTCCATTGTCACCACCCCCCCAGACGCCTTAGAGATCTTCGCCACCGCAAACTTCACCTCATCATGTACCCGAGATGGACCATGCTGGTGCTTGCATCTCAGGGCATGATGCGGGTCTGCTGGGTCAACATATGCTGTGCCACAAACACACCTCCTCGCCACCTGCAGCTGCTGAATTGGGAGCCCGAGCCGTATAGCAGCAGCAATGCCCCACTCCGCCGCCGTGAATGTGAGATCTGAGTGAGCCGGAACCGCCGAAACCCATTCACCAGCCCCCGGGCCCTGAAGGGATGTGAAACGGGCCAGGGTGCCATCGTCACGAGCCGAGCGACGCAGTGTCTGGAGCTCCTCTACCGCCAACAACCGCTGCCACGCCTGGAAAAGCCGAAGAGGAGGGGCCGCTACACACAGAGGTAAGCCCGGCATCTCCTGGCGTATAGTCGCAGGCAGCTGCTCAAGAGCCTTGGCAAACCACGGGTCAAGAAACTCCGCCCCTGCCGAAGTGGTGAGGTACTCCGCAAACATCGCCTCCTCGCCCGCCACCCCCAACTGTGCAATATCACGCGCGGCCTGCGCCCACCCACAAACATAGGACAGCGGACTCAAAGAGGCTGCTGTCCGGATCCCACACCCTCCGAGTCGCACAGGGAGATGCAGCTGCATGGGCGCGCGCCTAGACCGGTCGGGGTCATGCTCCCAAGTGCCAGGTGGGAAAAGCTGCTCAAAGCAATCCTCCAGACAGCTATCCCAATCCCTGAAGGCCTCCACCACCTCCGGACGCGGCGGCATAGTCCGGGCCAGGTACATCGGCCGTGCTGAAACTGCAATGGCGAGAAGATGTGAAGCCATCTGGGGGTGGTCGAGCAGGGGGAGCCATGGCAATGGCGCCTGCAACTGTCTAAGCCGCTCCCGTAACCGGGTCACCTCCCAACCCTCCTCCCCAATAGGCACGCCCACCACAGTGAGACCCTCCTCCACCCGCTGCATCCCCAATGGCAGTGCCAGCTCCACATCCCCGCCCTCGCGCTCCCAAAACTGGCACTTGTGCGCTTGCACCTCCAGCCCCACCCATTCCAACCGCTCCCGCAGCGCCCCAAACGCCTCTAGAATCCTAGCCGCCGGTCCCAGGATATAGGTATCGTCAACGTAGCTCAGGAAAAGTAGGTCCCTGAACTCTCTAGTCACCGACTCCATCACCTGCTGCTGCGTGAACGCGAAAAGGAAAGGGCCGAGCGGGTCCCCCTGCCGCGATCCTCGTGCCGACTCAAGGCTCTGTACAAAAGGGCCCGCTCGGAGGTACAGATCGCTAGGTGTCCCGTAGAAAACACGTAAGAATGGGATCAACCCTGAGAAAGGCGACTCCCGCAGCCCCTCAAACATCGCATGACGGTGAAACGAATTGAAGGCGTTCGCGACATCTATCTGCAGCGCACACCAGTCGGGGTGAGTAGCCAGCGTTGACTGGAAAGAATGGGTAAGAATCTCTACCCCGGCCCTGGTGCCCGCTCCCAGCTGGTTGCACGGCAGAAAGTAGGAAGCCATCGTAGGGCGGAGCGAGATGCAGAGAGCTCGAGCAAGGATACGCGGAAGCACTTCCCCAATCGCGACCGGCCGGACGTCGCCGTTAGGCTTGGAAAGCCCAACTAGGTTGGATGCGGCGAGCCAGGGCCGAGCCCGCTCGGGGACCTGTCCCGCCACCCATTGGTTGAACACCTCCAACAGGTGGGAAAGGCAGGAAGGTTCAGTGAGGAAGGTGTCGCGCAGATGCTCCGTGACCCACCCCGATGGCCCTGCTGCTGAAGCGTGAGCGGCTGTATGGATAGTTCTGGCCAGGATGTCGGCCGTGAGTGGAGGCCGCTGAGGAGCATCGACGGTGAAATCACGGACCCACTGTGGTACCTCGCTAGTGCTAGCAGGGTGCTTCTCTCGCAGCGACTGCACCATGGCCTCAGACGGCCGTGCCAACTCCCCTGCCGTAAGGCAAGCCAATCCGCAGCTCCACTCTCCCACTTTACACCGAGATCGGCACCGTGACAGGCGGATGGCATCCGGGTCCTGGTCAGAGCAAGTGTAGGCAAGTGGGCGTACTGCTGGCCACGCCGCCACCATGGCGGAGTCGAACAGCTCCCGCCACCTCCCCTCCCAAAACGCCCCCAACCGCTCTATGATCAGCGCCTTCTGTCCTATGCCTGGCTTGGGAGGCACGGCTAGGATGAAGCGCGGAAAAGCCAAGAGTAGGAGGGTAGCGGCTTCATCCCCCGGCCGGCTCTTCAAACGCTTTAAGACGCAACAGAGCGCGTCTAAGACCCCCGACCGAGCCCGCTGTGGGATCCGGCGCACTGTCCTCCCTCCAACCGCCTCCACACTGAAAAATGCTTCCCATTCCCAAGACGTAACCCCGGCCCACGCCTCGTCCCCAAATTCCCGCGGCGTCGGTCGCTCCTGCGTGTCGGTCTCCACCAGTGACGGGGTCGAGCCAAGTGCCTGCGCGCGCCTCTCCGCCTCAGCCGCCCGGCATACCCTCATGTGGTTCGCAGCAGCCCCTCGCGTAGCGAACGTGTGAAAACACGTGTCACACAGAAAACGAGGGCATGGGGAAGGCTGCATGGGAGGTTCTCCGTCCGCCTCTGACTCCTCCGCAGTCGCCATGGGGGTATCAAACTCCAAAAGTCGGCACCACTCCTCCAACTGCTGCTCCCGGTCGTCCAATGACTGCCCCCCTGGCTGCTGCTCTATCTGGGGGTGCTCCGGTCACCCCCGGCTGCCCCCCTGGCTGTAGCACTCCCAGGGGTGCTCCGGTCGCCCCCGGCTGCCCCCCTGGCTGTAGCACTCCCTGGGGTGCTCCAGTCACCCCCGGCTGCCCCCCTGTCTGTAGCACTCCCAGGGGTGCTCCGGTCACCCCCGGCTGCCCCCCTGGCTGTAGCACTCCTTGGGGTGCTCCGGTCACCCCCGGCTGCCCCCCTGCCTGTAGCACTCCTAGGGGTGCTCCGGTCACCCCCAGCTGCTCCCCTGGCTGTAGCACTCCCAGGGGTGCTCCGGTCACCCCCGGCTGCCCCCCTGGCTGTAGCACTCCCAGGGGTGCTCCGGTCACCCCCGGCTGCCCCCCTGGCTGTTGCACTCCCACGGGTGCTCCAGTCACCCCCGGCTGCCCCCCTGGCTGCTGCTCTCTCTGGGGTGCTCCAATCGCCTCCAGCTGCTCCCTTGGCTGTAGCGCTCCCTGGTGTGCTCCTGTCACCCCCGGCTGCCCCCCTGGCTGTAGCACTCCCAGGGGTGCTCCGGTCACCCCCAGCTGCTCCCCTGGCTGTAGCGCTCCCTGCGGTGCTCCGGTCACCCCCGGCTGCCCCCCTGGCTGTAGCACTCCCAAGGGTGCTCCGGTCACCCCCAGCTGCTCCCCTGGCTGTAGCGCTCCCTGCGGTGCTCCGGTCACCCCCGGCTGCCCCCCTGGCTGTAGCACTCCCAGGGGTGCTCCGGTCACCCCCAGCTGCTCCCCTAGCTGTAGCGCTCCCTGGGGTGCTCCGGACACCCCCGGCTGCCCCCCTGGCTGTAGAGCTCCCAGTGGTGCTCCGGTCACCCCCGGCTGCCCCTCTGGCTGCTGCTCTCTCTGGGGTGCTCCAATCGCCCCCAGCTGCTCCCCTGGCCAAGGCGCTCCCTGATGTGCTCCTGTCACCCCCGGCTGTCCCCCTGGCTGTAGCACTCCCAGGGGTGCTCCGGTCACCCCCAGCTGCTCCCCTAGCTATAGCGCTCCCTGGGGTGCTCCTGTCACCCCCGGCTGCCCCCCTGGCTGTAGCACTCCCAGGGGTGCTCCGGTCACCCCCAGCTGCTCCCCTGGCTGTAGCGCTCCCTGCGGTGCTCCGGTCACCCCCGGCTGCCCCCCTGGCTGTAGCACTCCCAAGGGTGCTCCGGTCACCCCCAGCTGCTCCCCTGGCTGTAGCGCTCCCTGCGGTGCTCCGGTCACCCCCGGCTGCCCCCCTGGCTGTAGCACTCCCAGGGGTGCTCCGGTCACCCCCAGCTGCTCCCCTAGCTGTAGCGCTCCCTGGGGTGCTCCGGTCACCCCCGGCTGCCCCCCTGGCTGTAGCACTCCCAGGGGTGCTCCGGTCACCCCCAGCTGCTCCCCTGGCTGTAGCGCTCCCTGGGGTGCTCCGGTCACCCCCGGCTGTCCCCCTGGCTGTAGCACTCCCCGGGGTGCTCCGGTCACCCCAGGCTGCCCCCTTGGCTGCTGCTCTCTCTGGCGTGCTCCAATCGCCCCCAGCTGCTCCCCTGGCTGTAGCGCTCCGTGGGGTACTCCTGTCACCCCCGGCTGCCCCCCTGGCTGTAGCACTCCCAGGGGTGCTCCGGTCACCCCCGGCTGCCCCCCTGGCTGTAGCACTCCCAGGGGTGCTCTGTTCACCCCCGGCTGCCCCCCTGGCTGTAGCACTCCCCGGGGTGCTCCGGTCACCCCCGGTTGCCCCCCTGGCTGCTGCTCTCTCTGGGGTGCTCCAATCGCCCCCAGCTGCCCCCCTGGCTGTAGCGCTACGTGGGGTGCTCCTGTCACCCCTGGCTGCCCCCCTGGCTGTAGCGCTCCCAGGGGTGCTCCGGTCACCCCCGGCTGCCCCCCTGGCTGTATCACTCCCTCGGATGCTCCGGTCACCCCTGGCTGGCCCCCGGCCCTCTGCCCTCCCTGTCGTCGCCCCCTTCGGCGCCGCGCCCGCGGCCTTTTCGCTTGGCCCGTGCCGCCCAGGCTAGTGACCCCCTGCTGATCCTGCACCTGCAACTCCTGCGACTCCCCCATCGGCAACCCCTGTTGTACGCTTCCAGTCAAGTGCTGGTTCGCCTCATGACACCCTTGCCGCCGCCCTTCCTGCGACTGAGGTTGATTCCCAATTTGACTCCCCTCCTGCACGCCTACCGGCAGCTCCCCTCGCGCCTCCTCTTGTGGCTCCTCCATCTCCACCTCCAGCTCATGCAGCTCTTGCTGCCCCCCCCGCCTGCAGGTCTTGCTGCCCCCCCGCTTGCAGCTCCTGCTGACCCTCCTCTTGCAGCTCCTGCTGTCCCCCCGACTGCAGCTCCTGCCGTCCCCCCGCCTGCAGCTTCTGCTGCCCCCCAGCACGCAACTCCTGCTGCTCCCCGGCCCTCTGCTCCACCTCCATCGCCTCATGCGCCTGCCGCCCTCCGGCCGGCTCCTGCTGCCCCCCCACCTGCAGCTCCTGCTGTCCCCCCGCCTGCAGCTCCTGCTGCCCCCCCGCCTGCAGATCCTGCTGCCCCCCCGCCTGCAGCTCCTGCTGCCCCCCCGCCTGCAGCTCCTGCTGCCCCCCCGCCTGCAGCTCCTTGTGCCCCCCCGCCTGCAGCTCCCGCTGCACCCCCGGCCACTCGTGCTGTCCTCTGGGCCGCAGCTCCAGCCCCCCTCCGGCCCGCCTCGCGCAGGGTCTTTCCTGCAGGGCTCCGGGCGTGCGCCTCCGTTCCTGTCGTTGGGCCAAACGTGGGCCGCGCAGTGTCGGGATGCCGCGTTCGGTGAGGGCGGAGCCCACCAACGAAGTGCCGAGGGCATGGCGACGCCTGTCGTGTGTCTCCTGCAAACGCTGGCGGTGTGCTTCCCATGTTGCCATCGCCGCATCAGGGGCAATGCTCTGCCTAAGCTCCCCGTGTACCTGTTCGCCCTCTTCTGTGACCACCCCGCCTTGATTGGGGCAATTATTGCTGCCGGCTGCGGGGCTGCCCGGAGTGTCTTCAGAGTGTGCCTCCGTCCTCACCTCCGTCGAAAGTGATCCGCACCGTTGGCGTTTGCTGGGCGTGCCTAAGAGGCACTGCTCTTGACTGTGGTGTAGGATACGGAGATGTGGGTGTTGTGTGTCTAGTGCCGTCTCTCTGAGCCTCTTGGGGCCAGACTCCGACGGGCGCTTCCATCCCCTGGTTGCTGTCCTCTCCTCCACGTCGCCCTGGAGTTCCCCTGTTCGCCTCGGGTCTCCCCAGGGCGGCGCCGGGCAACCTCGGTCAGGGGGTTCGGGGTTGTTGTTCATGGCGACCAGCGCTTGCACGCTGCTGGGCACTGGCGGGTTTCACGCTGCTACGCGCTGTTCGGTCGGATTTAACGCTGCTAAGGGCGGATTTAACGCTGCTAAGGGCAGATTTAACGCTGCTAAGGACGGATTTAACGCTGCCAAGGACGGATTTCTCGCTGCTAAGGGCAGATTTCGCGATGCTAAACGAGGATTTCACACTGCTAAGGGCGGATTTCGCGCTACACAGGGCGGATCGTGCTTCTAAGGGCGGGTACCGCGCTGCCCAAGGCGTCCTGGCGCTGCTGAGGCTAGATCGCACTGCCTGGTGGCGTCGGGGCGCTGCTAAGGGGCGATTTCGCGCTGCCTAAGGCGTCCTGGCGCTGCTGAGGCTAGATCGCGCTGCCTGGTGGCTCCGCGGCGCTGCTAAGGGGCGATTTTGCGCTGCCTAAGGCGTCCTGGCGCTGCCGAGGCTAGATCGCGCTGCCTGGTGGCGTCGGGGCGCTGCTAAGGGGCGATTTCGCGCTGCCTAAGGCGTCCTGGCGCTGCTGAGGCTAGGTCGCGCTGCCTGGTGGCGTCGGGGCGCTGCTAAGGGGCAATTTCGCGCTGCCTAAGGCGTCCTGGCGCTGCTGAGGCTAGATCGCGCTACCTGGTGGCGTCGGGGCGTTGCTAAGGGGCGATGGACACACTGCTTTGGTCCTCAGTAGTCACTCCTGCAAGAACCTGCTCTTCTTGAGTCCTAAGGAAAAGTAGTCGCGAGATTTTGCGCCGTGGTCAGTTGCGCCTTGCTTACGTGGCCTCTGAGGCCAACACTGCTGATATCTTTACCAAGGCATGTCCGCCTGGTGATCATCAGCGCTTCTGTACTATGCTAGGTCTTGTGCCTACTTGGCCTCACTTGCTCACTTCTTGACCTTGCTTGTACTGTGATCTTTCTATACCTGCACTTGCTTGTTTACCTTTATATATGATCTTGCATGTGAACTGGCCTTTTGGCCTTGCTCTTGTGCTCGGATTGTGTGTTGACGTTGTGATCCACCCTGAGTTTGCTTTGCTTTGCTTGACTGGTCTTGTGACCTCTTGTTCTCCCCCACTTTGCCTATGGGGGTGTGTCAAACTTATATGCTATAGTCTGTGTAGGCTGTAGTGGGGTAGACTATATGGGGTACAACATTTCTAGGTTTTCCTACTTGTACCCACCTGCTTTATAGTTCATTCATTCCTCATTTCTTCATAATGAAGGCACAGACTAATGTAGGGACTAGCCTAGCCAGGAGGGAACCTAGGACGAGCAAGGTTGGGTGCAGGTTTGGCGATTGGGAAATACCGAAGGCGATGCGAGGAGCCTCGGCAGGGTTGAAGTCGGCAGAACGAGCGAAGTCCGAAAATTGGTCTGTACGTGAAGCAGTCAACCGCGATAAGGAATTCGGGAAAATTCCTTGGATCCAGGTTGTGTTGGCACTGTTGAAGTTTCTGTGGGGTGGAATGTGTCCGCGCGCTAGAAATTCGAGGAACTATGGAGTCGGCTCAGAGCGGGTCCAGCGCGTACGTTTACAGGTACTATACAGTTCATTTGTCGTGGTTTGAAACGATATCAGACGGTGCACAGCGGTTTTAAAGTTGCACCGTTTTGAACCGTGACGCATTACAGATTACCGTACTGGATGAACTGTAATGGATGGAAAACAAACGCGCTGGACCCCCCCTCAAAGAGCATTCGTTTTCAGGTACAGTGATCAGTTTTGTGCCCCGACACGTGTGAGGGCACTAAAATTCCCAAAATGAACGCGCTGGACACCCCCTTACAAATCTGAAGATTGCTGTGCACACCTCAGCCAGGTCGTGAGTGAGACCCCAGCGATCCTTCCCTATGGACCCTACTGAGAAAGTACGAACGAGGAGTGAAATGACTATGAATGAAGTGAGTACAAATAGGAAACCCTAATTGGGTTGTACCCCCTATGGGATACCCCACTATAGCCTACAGAAACAAGTAAGCTATGAGTTCTGACACACCCCCATAGGCAAAGTGGGGGAGAACAAGGGGTCACAAGACCGGTCAAGCAAAGCAAAGCAAAGCTCAGGGTGGATCACAAAGTCACCACGCATTCCGAGCACAAGTTCAAAGGCCACAAGGCCAGTTCACATGCAAGATCATATATAGAGATATACAAGAGCAAGAGTATATATATGCAAAAGTACAAGCAAGGTCAAGAGGAGAGCAAGTGAGGCAAGACAGGCACAAGACCCAACTGCGTGCAGCAACGCTGATGATCACAAGGCGCAAGTGCCTTGGTGAAGACATCAGCAGTGTTGGCCTCAGAGGCCACGTACGCAAGTCGCAGCTGTCCACGCTGCTGTAGCTCACGAGCAAGAAAGTAGCGAAGAGCAATGTGCTTCGTTCTGTGCTCCAGTCGCTGCTCTCGACACAAGGCCAGCATGGCCTTGTTGTCTACGTACAGGACTGGAGGAGAACGAGGCTGCTCTCCAAGGTCGGTCAGCAGGTAGGTGAGCCAGCGTAACTCCTGTGCAGCCATAGCCCCAGCGTAGATCTCAGCCTCACAACTGGAGCCGAGAACAGAAGACGAGCGGGTAGCCCGCCACGAGACAGACCCGGAACCAAGGCTGAAGGTGTAACCCTGTGACGACCGCTGCGTAGCCTGGTCGTCAGCCCAAGAAGCGTCTGCGTGCCCAGTGAGGACCACTGGACTGCGCCCTCCAAGCACTAGCCCCATGCCCGACGTACTGCACAAGTAGCGCAACACCCTCTTCGCTGCAGCCATGTGCTCTGGTCGGTGTCTCCCAGGAGCAACAAAGCGTGCGAGAATGCTAAGAGGGTATGCGAGGTCAGGTCGTGTGCAGGTCATCAGGTACATGAGGCAGCCAACAAGCTCTGCATACGGACCACTCGACTCTACGGACTCATCCGAAGGCAGAGCTGAGAGTGAGTGGCGAGTAGGCAGAGGAGTGGCCTGAGGCGAGGAGTACGTGAAGCCGAAGCGCTGAAGGACCTGCTGCACCATGTGTGACTGAGTCAGGGTAATGGTGCGGCGTGCTCTGTCCCGGGTGATCTGCAAGCCAAGGTAGCTGCGCAGTTCACCCAGGTCAGTGCACGTGTGTCTCTTCTGCAGCTCGGACTTCACGTAGGCGAGTCCAGCAGTGTCAGCTGTGGCAAAGACCAAGTCGTCGACGTACACGAGGATGTAGAACGGCGGCAGAGAGGTGTCGGTGCGCAGAAACAGCGACGGGTCGGCAGTGGAAGGAGCAAACCCAAGTGTCCGCGAGCGTAGTCCTCAGTGTGTCGTGCCACTCACGTGGCGCCTGGCGGAGACCGTAGACTGGACGCCGGAGACTCCACTGGGTACCAGGAGGGAAAGACCCAGTGAAGCCAGGTGGGCGACGCAGCCAGATCTCCTCGTGCAGGCTGCCCTGCAAGAAAGCTGTGCTGAAGTCGAGAGAGTGCAGCTCGTAGTCACGGTGAGCAGCAACGTGTAGCAGAACCCGAAGAGTGGTCATCTTCGGGGTGGGGGAGAAGGTCTGAAAGTAGTCAACCCCCTGCCGCTGACTGAAGCCACGAGCCACGTAACGCGCCTTGAAGACAGGCGGAGAACCCGGCGGCCGCTTCACCCTGAAAATCCACATGCCACTGACGATGTTTGCCCCAGGAGGGGGAACAGCGTCAACGTAGGTGCCTGTGGACTTCCAGGAAGCCATCTCTGCATCCATAGCTGCCTGCCACTGAGAGGAGTAGGGACCCTCTATCGCCTCCGCGTAAGAGCGCGGAGTCGGGATGTCTGGTGCATCCGGGTCTCCCTCAGGGGCTAGCAGTACAGACGCGAGACGAGGTGAAGCGGCGGCCAGACACTGGAACTCCTCCTGCCTGTCCTCAAGGACGTCCGTGCCAAGGGCACACTCACCCCCGACGGACGGAGGACAGGCGGACTCAGACTCAGTGACAAGGGCAGCAGCGTAGTCTAGACGACAGCGCGCAGCAAAGTCGACAAGCTCAGTGACAAGGGCAGACGCAGCAGACGACTCGAAGGAAGGGTCAGTGACAGCAGTAGCCAGGAGACGCGTGACAGTAGGACTGGCAGCACGGAGAGCGTCCGACTCCGGGTCGGCAAGAGCAGGAAGAGAGGAAGCAGGAGGAGAAGGCAAAGGGGCACGCAGAGGAGCAGTGGACGGACGCAGTGACATCCGGTGCGTGCCAGGGACAGGAGGAGGACGCTGACGCGACCCGCGACCACTAGCGCGCTCAGTACGAACAGGCGACACAGGACGAGACGCAGGCTCACGACGCTCAGTAAGACCACCAGTCGGACCAGCGTAGGGAGAAGGAGCAGGCAAAGGGGAGGCAGGCTGTAGCTGTGGCTGGGACCGGACAGGCTGCAGACCCTCTAAGGGAGGAGGAGGAGGTGTAAGACCAAGAACCTGCTGCAGGAGCGGAACGAAGTACGGTCGGGGCCGCGTGGCGACGCTAGAAACAGCAGGAACAGCACCAGCAGCCCCGGCAGGAGCACCCACTCCAGCAGCACCTCCAGCAGCACCACCAGAAGCTCCAGAACCTCCAGCCGCAGCACCAGGAGCACTGTCAGTCGGGCCGCCAACGG